GGAGCCCAAGCTTCCGGAAAGGCACAGCGGCACAACCGTCTGGTGCACAGCCAACCAGTCGTTGCGCAGATAAACCACACCACTTTTGCCAACGCCCCGAAGGTAGAAAGTATAAATTTTAGGTCATTTGCATGTGTGGCAACTTGCAGTGGCAATTAGTGGCTTTGAGGGTTAGTTGCTTCATGGCAGATTGCAGCTCATGTCCAGCTTTCGACATCTCAGTTGAGTGCCGCCGACCATTGCAGGATACTGCCTAGTTTCATGGTGGGTACTGTGAGGCCTTGGTTAATTCGTATCACCACCATGGCAGAACCGAAAGTGACTGGGTTTTTAGCGCTGGAGAGTGTTTTGTCGCCGCCAACATCTGACAGCCACGTCCTCTCAGGATGGTACCTGAATAGCACCAGCGCGAGAGTGACACGTTAAGGATCAAATATCACTTTACTTCCATTTGCTTTTGTTGCGTTTCTTTTCTTAATCCCGTTGATTTTGACGGAACTTGGCACTACTGGAAATATGGGAGTTTTTTGCAGGGGAAGGGAGGATAAGCGTTAGCCACCAACAAACATGTGTTGTTGATTATTCCCAAAGGCTGGCAGCTGTGCACCCGCTCAAGCACAAAAGAACAGCATCGAAAAAGCACGAAGAAGCTGCAGACAATTGCCGAGCAATGCTGGTTCCTTGAGACGGCACAGCTGCCGCGTTCATGCGTGTATCGTTTTAACCTCAGGGTGTGTGTGTGTGTGTGTGTGTGTGTGTGTGATTGAATGTTATTGTTTGTACGCAATCCAGCAGAATGCAACGGAATTTGCACCGATTCAAGCAAAGGTTCTTCTTTCGGAGCCCAGGTTGCTGAAGCTTATGTGCATGCGGGTGGCTGTTTGGCAGGCCCTGAGACATTTTTCTGGGACTTGGGAGGGGGGGGGTCCGGCATTGGATGGGGCCGACGGCCATGCGTGATACCTCCGGGGCACTTCTGGCGGACTTGGCACTAGACGAGGGCGAGGAGTCCGAGGCGGGAAATGACGCGGCAAGAGCTTCTGGCCTGAACCTTTCTCAACGGGGACTCCTTGGATGGTTTTAAAGCGAAACCAAAAGGAAACCACCTGGAGGGCGCCCAATTTTGAGAAACACCCATATTGAGGCCATATTTAGAATAGGGTCGTGGGATACGTTGAAATCAAACAAGATAAACAAGGTCATGATCATAGATAGTTGTTTGGCCCATCATGTGACGTTTGCATTCCTCCCACCAACATAGCATTTGTGGGAGGGACCTTGTCAGGTGCCATGGCACCGTGGGAGAGAGGATAATACTGCGCGTCTTGGTCAGTGCTAGAACTTCGCCAGCCGGTGATTCTCGGCCCAAGCTCCTCACTGTCAGTGACCATGTTCCGGGCTTGGCACCGCGTGGGCTGGCCACACTTCCACGCGCGCTTCGGAGAGCTTGAAAGGCGCTGGCCAGAAAAACAGAACGACCTTCGGACGCCAACTTCGGGCCCAATCAGCCTGGCTGCACCCGGGACTTCGTAGCAAGTCTCAGCTTCAGGCTGTTGCTGTGGTAAGCAGACCGTGCTGCTGGCCTACGCATGGGCTCACACCTTTTGAGGTTAGAGCCTTGCAGAACCGGCAGCGCTAAGCCTTTCAAGTGTGTGCCTGCGCTGCGATTCAACTCAATGACGCAGTCTTGGTCTAGCATGTGCTTCAGTGGCTAGCTTCACATCAAGATACTTTGCAAGAGGTGCAGCTCTCTGGAAGCTTCGCAATGCAAACCAGACCAGCGGCTTGAGTTTGAAAGGCTACAGGCGCTGGTCGGATGGCGCTTTGCAATTAAATGGCCATCAGCCAAACGGTGTTGTTCAGAGACTCGTGAAAGCGCAGCTGCCCGAGTTTGAAGCCAGTTGTTTGTGGAGCCTGTCCCAGTTGTTTGCTCCTTTAATGAGGCTGCTTAGAATGGGATATGTTCATCGCATGAGCAGCGTTAAACGAGTGCACAAGGATCGGCATCTTTTTTGGGCTGGAGGAAAGCACGGCGAAGCTGGAGCCATCCAGCTTGGCCGTGCCCGGGGCTTCGCAAGCTTCAGCTTCATATGCACAGGACTGCTGATGTTGAGGCTGAAGCCTTGCCTTGCACCGGCTCTAGGCCTTTCAAGCTCGTAGCGCGCGAAATGATGCATTTCAACGGCGCAGGTTTGGTCTAGCGATTGCTGCAGAGACCAGCCAACTGCTTCAGAGACCAGCCAACGGCTGTGCTCAGTAGACTCTCACATCTGCCAAAATCTGGACTCAGCTCGCAAGGGATTTGCTTCCCGCATGCTGTCAGGCTGTGCTGCTGTCGTTGACGATTGTGCTCTCAACAGGCCTGGTGCGAGCAGATTATGTGGAAAGGTCCGGCAGCTCCTATTGTGTGGCTGTGCGCTCAGAAATCCTGGGCTTTACAGCCCTCTAGCCCGCCATCAAAATGGTTTCTGCTCTGAAATTGTTGGCCGAATTGCGTTGCCAGCAGCTGGAAAGTCCGTAGGCACTTGCTACCTTTTGCAACCAGATTTGATCGTGTGAGCTGGTAAACATGTTGTGTCTCGGATTTCCAGAGCTTATGCCCTGAATACGCAGATCTTGGCAAGTGCCAGACTTGTGATGTTTTTGTGGGACCCGGTCAGATTGGCCTTCCGCACGGTGCGTATCCCCTGATCTGCCTGCAGCCGACGTCGTTGGCCGCAAGTCTCTATCAGGACCGCCGACGCCGAAGAGTCGTTTTCACTTTTGACGCACTTGCTTACAGCGCCAACCAGAATCAGGGATTTAGTTAAAGTTGGCAGGCTCAGGGCACACCAAAAGGAGTCAAAGCACAAGTGAAGCAAGTAAAGAAGCCGTGGCAAAGACTCTGCGCCAGAACCCTTTGCCGGTGTGCAATGCCCCTTGTAGAACAAAGCGTCTTCCTGAAAAACCGGTTTACTGACACCACCTTCGCTACACATGTCTGTGCACATGGCATGATCTCGAGCCCCTTTTGCGCTGGTGGCCTGTTTCAGGGGTTCAGGCTTTCGGTCATTGGATCTGGGTCACCTTTCTTGGGATTTGGACAAGCAAAAACTGCCAGGGTTCCTTACCATTTCCCTCTCGCTTTTCTCGCCTTGGCCAACATGCCCTCAGGCGAGCCGAGTGACCTGTCGCCTCATGAGCGTTGCGTCTTAAGCGTAGTCAGCCACTCCACTTTGAGTTTGGGAGTGGTTGTCCCATGGATCGCCACACTCGGCGCATTGATGGGGCTTTCTTTGATCAAGCTTCATTCATGCCAGCCTTTCCTGTTCCTCAAGGTCACAAAAGACTCTCAGCCCGGCGCCGGAAATGCCGCAAGCGGATGCGAAGGTCCTGCTTTAGGACTGCACGCTCTCTCTCCTCGAGTTTGGCTGTGCAGTGAGTGCTTTCCATAGTGGTAGCTTCTGGATGCGTGTAGATGTTGTTCCATTTCAGATGGCAAGGATCAGGCGCCGGTTCTCTGACTGATCCAGGCAAGCATCAGATGGCATTTGGAGATGTTAACTTCTGCTTGAGGAAAGCACGGAGCGGTTGGACCCAACCAGCCTCGCTGCCTGGCTGCTCCCGGAACTGCGCAACAAGCTTCAGCTTCATACTGCTGCTGTGGCAAAAGGGCAGAACTAACCTGCGCATGCTGATGCCTTGCCTTGCGTTGCAAGGGCAGCGCACTTCCCCCCCTCCCATCCCCCCCCCATCCCCCCAGACCTCCCTCCCCATCCCCCCCTCGCAAGTAAGCCATCCACTTACCAAAGCTTCGGAAGCTGGAGCTTCGGAAGCTGGAGCTGGAAGCTGGAGCTGAAGCTGGGGGCGCTTTGATGTGCTTGGACGAGCAAACCTTGCGGTATGGCCAGGGGTTTCTGCAACGTAAGTGGCGCAAAGCCTCGACCCTTGTGGTGATGTCAACGAATACAAGCTGCAACAACGCAACTGGGTCGACCCATTTTGGGGTCCGTAAAGCCGTTTTTTCCAGAAGGCCCACCCCCCCCCCCACTGCATAATGTTGACCCCATGAGTGTTTTTGGCTTCAGTGGGGAATCAGACCACTTTTGGAGTGGCCAAGAACACCCCCATGATTGTTTTCTGAGTTCGATGAGAACACTCCCTCACAACATGGAAGCTCCCAGAAGGCAGTCAATGGACCCATGTGGGTATGATTTTTGATTGGGGATGTGGTGGGCATCAAAATTCGGTGTATGTCCACCAACCACTTTTCAGGCGGTTCCCCATTCAAATTCAAATCCATGCCTTTCATTTCGGGGGCAATTTCGGGATCCATGGAATGCCAACAATTCTTGCTGGTGAATAGGGAATGAGAAATGGACTGACCCCGATTTAACCCATCCAACTGGTGGTTTCCTTGCGGACCCCTGGCCTGGGTTAATTTCATTCCACATTCCCTACCGATTTCGTAACAAGATGTAGACTTAAGTCCCTCAATCCAAACCCAGCGGTACTAAGTGGTAAAATTGTGTTTTTTAGCCTTTTAGTGTTGAGTGGTGGTTTCCATTTAGCCCACTAAAAGTTATTCACTTTTAGCAGGGGATCTGAGGGCAGGTCAAAACTAATGGTCCCATTTTGGGGTAGGTGCACCACCCATTTTAGACTATTTGGGTGGGGATCGTTATGTTCACTGGAGGTACGGGCTTTTGATTTTGACCCATGGCCATGTGGGTTCCCCTACTAAAATAGACTACAGCCAAAAAATGGCACCCTTATTCTAACCTCTCTACTGGAGGACCTGGAAGGGGTCAAAATTACACCACCGAGACACCCGCAGGTGTTGGTCCTTCTTTCCACTTCCCAGGGCAAGCCATTTTGGGGATTTTGGGGTTCCCCGATTTTTGACCACCACAGCCACGTGGTTCCTCAGCAGACGGCGGCTCGACTTCAGGCGGAGCTCCGTGAGGTGGACATCGGCGCAGAGGACCCGCGGAGCCTCGGGGTGGCCACTGCGGAGGCCTATGGCGCCCGCACCGCGCGGGGCCTGCGCCGCGCCAAGGACGGGGCCCCGCGGGTTTTTTGGGTCGGGTGGGCGGGAGGGCGAAAAACGCGGGCTGGTGGGGTCGGAAGATGAGCTCTTTTTGATTTGGGTGAGCTCAAGTGGCAGATTCTGTGGGGTTCCAGGGAGCCATGCCCCTTTTTGATTGGGTTAGCTTCAACAGTGGCAGATTGAATAGAAACCACCAGTCAAGTGAGGGAAATCCGGTGACCCCTGTCCATTGAAATTGCATCCCCAAACAAGAATGGTGGAGCCATACCTGGCTGAGTAATGCTAAACGTGGAAACATGGGGAGGGCGCACGAGTTTGGGAAGATGAATGAGACACATTTGGGTTTGGCTTGTTAGTCCCTTTTGAATGAGACCAACTCAGAACTGCAACCCTTGTTACATTGTTGGTATTTCTATTCTATTACTGCTTTGACGGCTGGTTGTTTGACACTGGAAAAAGAAGATGTATAGTTGGTTTATGTGTTCTTGACGCTCTTTGCCCACTCACCATCGGTTGATTGGAGCAACCTTTGATGATTGTTAAAATGAGGTACCGTGCTGCCCCAGTATTCTTCGCTTTACACACTTTACACATCTTAAATGCAATTGGCGACAGTTTCCCCCAAACTCCTTGCCCAGATTTCACAGAACCAGAAAGCGTACAAATGTTCAATCTGCACATCTCCACATCAAATGGTGGGCGATTCGAAGGGTGTAGTGTATGTGTGTGTGTGTGTGTACAAGACAAACTTGCAACTTTGAAGTACAACTTCAGGATGACAATCTAGCTGCATAGAGGTTCCCATTCCAATCTTTGCAGTAGAACCCTAGTTCGCTCGCCATCGGAAACAACTTGCTACTTCACTGCAACAGAGCATGTTGTGATAGGATTACTTCTTGTTCTGGCAAGTCCGTAGTTGGTATTCGCGCCTTCCTGTGTCCTCTCTATTTGCACCAATGTGATCCCACCAAAGAGTTTGGATTCGTACGCTGGTGGTGTTGAGCGCGGAGGGGATCTCTTGAAAGCTTGGCAGAGGCTTTGTGGTTTGATACGATGTTTCCAATGTGTGCGCGCCGGAAAAGCCAATGGAAACACAAATAGCAAGAGAAAGGTGTTGCTGCATAAAGCAAGTAATTTCCTACTAGCTCCTTGACCTACTTTTTTGAAGGTCCTTAGGCTGCTTGTTTTAAAGGTCCGTTGAAAACCGGTTGTTGTGCAAAAGGGGTGCCTTTTCAAATAAGACCTGGTTTTTCCTAGGAAGGGTTCAAATCTCGTGATGTTTCATGCGGCTCTTGTGCTTGCATGTCGCCCGTTTCTGATCATTAGATTTTGCAGAGACCCCCAAAAACATGCCGAGTGGGCCAAACCCGCCGGCGGATTTCCTGGACCACCCCGTGTTGGCACGTGCCAACCCAGCATCGTTCGCCCCACTGGCGCAGGTTTCCAGACAAACCAGCTCGTCAAAGGCCAATATCTGAGTTGAGAGCATCGCCCTTTTCGCGGCCTCCCGGGGGGAAGCGTTTGCTTCTATTCTGCTTTAGCTTCTTCCCATTCTCTTGCGCGCGAAAACACTCCCGGAAGCAAAGCTTGTAAAACGCGTCCGCCGCGGAAGCAGGCGGAAGCCACCGAAGGAAAACCGTGTCCGCGGAAGGAAGCTTTATGATATGTTGACTTTAAGTAAATCGCATTGCTTGACAAATCCAACAGCTGACCAGGACTACTACACCGAGTGGCATCCTCAGTGCACCGGAACGGACCAATGAGTCGATCAAGTTTGGCTTGAAATGGCCCGAGGTTGCCGCCAGTCTCATGCTCGGTGGAGCAATGGGAGCACTTGGCATCCTTGGCGGAAAAAGGCCGGGACTCCCCACATTTTTATTTCTTTTAAGGAGTTGGTGCTCAGAACTGCACTGCTTTGTGGACCTGGTTGGTGGTATTTCCTACTTGAATTGCTGTGTTGTGCGCATCCACCATCAATACCAGTGCGGAACTGACTGGACATATGAACGGCCCCATTTCTTTGCAGAGTGCAGTAACAGTAGGCGGTGTTCGAGCAAAACATGGGGGGAATCAAGCGAGTCAACTATGACCGGTTCAAATATTTTGGGTGGTGTATGCTTGCGGCATGTGCTCTGCTTCTGCGAGCCCATCGCAGATCAAAATCTTTGGGAGCCGGTCCAACCTCAAGGGTTTGGGTTACACGGCAGTCCTCAAGGCGTTTTTTTGTTTGTTTCCCCCCCCGTTTTTTTTGTTTTCTTTCGGCTGTTGTTTTTTGGGGGGGTCTTATGACTTGTGGCTTCCCTTCCAAAGACCGGGAAACCGGGGTAGCCTCAACAAGAGACCAAGCCACCTGACGCCAGGCGCTGTGCTGTGCTGCCCCACGGCTGCCGCCTTCTTCGAGGGCTTGAAGCAGGGATTGGGCCAAGAGCCCAGCGATCAAAGTGCCTGGCTACAAGTGGCTGTGGTTGCACACCGTTTTGGGATCCCATTTTGGTTGGGATTGGTGAATTCACCACCCATTTGAACGAACCTATTTTAGTGGTTGGATTGAGTCGGATGTTCACTGGGGGTACAAGCTTAGGCTTTTGACCCATGGCTACAAGTCTCACTTCTTGAGTTGAGCTTTGGTGACTTTTGGGGTTTGGACCATTTGAATGGTAAACAAAAAGGTGCGGTCCGTGGTTACTTTTTTGTGCGCATCTCCACTCAGGAAGTGAGAAGAGCTTACTTACCTCCCCTAACCAGCATACATGCATCAATGTCAAAGGGGTTGTCAAGTGCCTTGCTCAGCTGATCAAACCGAACCGGGAAGTTCACCAAATACCCGCAACATACCACGGATCGAACTTGTGGATTGTCCTGCAGCTGGCTTACAAAATGCGGATTTCCATGCCAGGCCATTCCAACAAAGAGAGTTGTAATTCTGCTTCACACAGTATGTCAGTTTAGCGGTGAGAGTGCCCTTAGCAACCACATTGTTTATGAGAATTGAGTTTGTTTATACTGTAATTATGTGCAATTGAGAATTCGAATGAAATCTGAATCAGGCTGATACACACGACTGTCATACTTAAGACATTGTTTCCTCGAATCATGTTCCTCCCACCCGTGTCAGCACGGCCCAGCCTTTAATTGATCGTCAGCGTCCAAGGCTGGAATGTCTATGAGACACTGCTGGACTTCGAGGCTCGCCTTCGCGGTCCTGTGCGGCCAAGGTCGTGTGGGTTTCAGGGATCGAGCCAGTAAACATGTGCTCCACGGCTCATGCATATGACGCCCAGCTCCTTGTTTGCGATCAATGCTGACGCTTCCGACAATGATGGTATATGATTCATGGATTGGTAGATTGTTGGAGGGCGAATGGAAGTACTGAGTTGTTTGTTTGCTTGCTTGCTTGCTTGCTTGCTTGCTTGCTTGCTTGCTTGCCTGTTTGCATACAGGGCAAACTAGGCTAGGTCACGCCGCCGTTAGCGGCGCTGAGCGTTTTGAGTACGGGGGACGGACATGGGGTGGTCTGAAACGCTTGTTGTCCAACACGGGACCATCTCGGTAGTGAAACGAGGCGGGCTTGGCAGACCGCAAATCTCCGCCGCGAACTTGTAGCGCGCGGCGGTAGACTGGTTCGACATAGGCGCAGCAACAGAACCAGGGCGCCAAAAGCTGCGCTCCAACACAGCTCGCCAGCTGCGGCCGGCAGAAGTACAAGCCTCAACACAAGTTCATGCCAACATGAACGAACATGCACTCTTTGCGGACGGGAAATTGGCTAGCAATGCTAGCACGCGCAGAATTGCATGTGAGCGTAAACACCCCTACACAAGGAGTTGTTGAAGCAATTGCGTTTCTTGCGGCCGAAAAGGGAATGCGCGCTGAAGTGAACTCATGTGAGGGTGAACACCCCACCCCCCCTAGGGCCCCCAATCCACCCCGAGGCGCCAAAATTAGCGTTTCTCTCGGCGCCCCTAGCGACGTGAGCACAAACGAGCTTCCTTGAAGGAGCCAAGCTGGTGCTAGGGCCGCTGCTCAAGGTTGACTCAAGGCACAAGGCTTGAACTGAGCAGAAGCAGAATACGAAAACACCTTTTTCTTTTGTTCGGATAGCATTGCAGTGTGGATGGAGTGGGTTCAATTGTGATGAGGTTACCAGTTTCAATTCCAGGTTTTCAGTGGTTGTTGCTCGCAAGGTGGCCGTTGTTGCAGGGTCGGCAGTATGGTGACCAATTATCGTTGCAGACTTCAATACGAGTTTGACACTGCCTGTGCATCTTTCTCTCTGAAAGTAATTACAATCCATTGCAATCAACAGAGCGAACCCTGCACACACGCCTACTGTGAAGTAATGGAGCCTTCCCCCATCAGCCTGTGACGCCTTTGCAGAAGTCACACACTGATGCTGAATTGAAGCGCGTGAGCATTCAAAACGGCCAACGGAAAAGTTGATACCTGCTTGTTGTTGTCAGAAGTTCCATTCAGCCTTTGTGTTTGTTATGGATGTTGCAAATGCCCTAGTTTCCTGCCGGTTGCTGTTTGATCGTGTGGATGATTGCCATGCTTTCAGCAATTGAAGTGCCACAGTTCTGCTTAGCCTGCCATTCCACCCTCCGAACACTCCTGGAAACTGACGATCGGAGGGGTTTTGACTACTACTTTTGGGGCTTCGCCACTTTTTCGGCCACTGCCATGATTGAAACTTGGTTTCCCGAAACGAAACCACACCCGTTTAGAACTTTTTTTTTGGATGGGAGCCTTGTGGGCTTCCGGGGATTCCAGGGGTTGGCATCGATCAGGTCTACACGTTGGAGCTCCAGCGCCGTGATCGTGCAGAGGCGGTTTTCGGAGAGAGCGGAAGGAGTTGACTTAAGATATGGCCGTGGGGCAAAAATCGGGTAACCCCAAAATGGCGCGGTAAATGGAAACGATGACTAAAACCTGTGGTCCCCTGATTTGTTAATTTTGAGCCATACCCATGGGTGCGTCTTGTTTTGAGTCGGTGCCCTTTTGCAGGGTGGTTTGAAGGGAAGTCAAATAAACTGCCAGAGGTTGGATGCCACCGATTCCATGTTGGCGCACAGCATGATTCTGGGTGAGGACTTGACCGCACGCAAGTTGGTTCCTTTCGGGTCCCTGAGCGGTTGGAGAACTGTGATACTTCACCTACATCATTCGGGCCAAGCTCGCCGGGGTAGCAGAACTGCGAGACGAATGCGAAGGGGAATGTCCTCACATCCTCACTGGGACGGCCGTTTCTGTTTTGAATCCGACCCCCTCGTGCACATGGTTCGCCGCGCCTGAGGTTTTTTAAGCGTCACACTCTGGGCCAATCTAAGGCACGACCAGGGCACTCAGAGGACAAGGATTTGAGAACCGCAGGCCAATCTAAGGCAAGATTCCTTGAAGGGGGGGATGTTTGAAGGGGGGACCCTGGCGAATGAGAAGGCCGACGCCTGCAGTCCATCATGTGGCTCGAATCCGATCGATCCATTCCCACGTCAGATGGGATGGCACTTATGGCAGTGTGTGCCACTGATAAAACCCACAATCACACCCCTGGCTGATTACTAGGGTGTCCAACTGAGCGATTCTTTCCGGGGAGGGCGGACCACCCCCCCTTACTGTACCAATTCGCAAGGTGAAAAAGGATTCAGGGCCTTGACAGTTGCATGGTCTTTTGTGTCCGAATCCATCACTGACCACCAATGAAGGATCAGATTCCGAGGTCCTTTGTTCAAAGGCTCTGGCTAAGCCAGAAGCGGACGACTCCCAGGTAGGTCTACCACAATCTCCGAGTTTTTCGGGCTCGGCTTGCTTGATCTATCGTCTCAGGATTCTTTGAGTTCAGATCCACGCCTTTCATTCATATTGCAATGACCAGGTCGATCGCTGGGTCTTCGAGAAAGGGTCTCGTCTTTTGTCCCCTTTCTATCAGCAAGACACCCAGCCGCTCGCCGATTCCACAAGGGCCCACAGGACCTTGAAAGAACATTCCGTTCCACGAATGTTCTGAAGCAATCATGTTGCAATCGTTTACGCTTTGCCTACATAGGCGTAAACCCAAAAAGAATGCCACATTGTGGTAGCCAACCCCACTAAGGAAATTAGAACCATGACATGGTTCTCCATGGAAATGCCTCTTTAATCCTGACACCCCCGCAAAAGGGTACTTTCAGACCAATGCCACAATTCCATTTGGGGAGGCCAGACGAGGAGCATCCTCCTCCTCCTCCTCCTCAAGTGAAAGTGACAGCAGCTTGGCCATGGGGAGGGCCAATGTTCCGAAGTGACGAAATACCCCACAACGAGTCCTTGTTTTGACATACTCCCGAAATATCCTGTTGCAGTCCGTGACAAACATTTGGCACGCGGAAAGCCTAGAGAGCCACGTCGAAAGTTCCGGGTGCCAGCTGCAAGTTCTCATTCTCTGTACGTGATCCGCCATTGATAGAATCGCAATTCACACTTGTCACGAGCGGAGGTAGCCAAACCTGCGTGGTTGCGCCAGTGGCAGTTGATTTGCGGTCGTGCTAAATTCAGCGACCGGCTTTGGGATGTTGCAAGCAGGAAGCTAACGTGGAAACAGTATGATATGCTGGTGTCTGTAATTTTCACACGTTGCCACGTAGAAGCTGGATCCGGGTAACGTGTTGCACTCCACTCTTCGGCACTGCTTCTTTTGGGAAGGGCTTGTGTCATTTGCTCATCGGAAGGTGACAGGATGCTATGAATTTGGATGGGGGAGCACCCTGAAAACTGGTTGGTGGCCAGACAATTCCGATGTAAAGAAGGCTCTCCAAAGGGTCCCCAATGCACAAGCATAACATCTACACAACTAGTCCGGATTGTGCAGCATCGTGCTGCATGTACTTGGACTTGTGAAACCAAGAAAAGCCTTTTGAAGGATCCAGTCACGAGTATGGTTCAATTCTTTATCTGTTTTGCATTCCAAAGATCTTAGTTCAGAAAATGGAATCGGCGGCAGTGGGCAGAAACTGTAGATGGTGCTTTGGAAGGATGTTGCAGCTCGAGACATAGGACATGTTCTCAACAGTTGTTGAGTCCCTTTTGCAACTGGGTGAATCCACCAAAAACATCATTGGAGCAGCTTGCCTGAAGGCAGTTTGCAACTTGACTCTGGGTGCATGAGGCATATTGTTTGGGTGTCTGCTAGCGGCAGGCACAAGGGATACAAATCGCCCTTGATTTTCCCAGGCCCTATTTCCCTACCCCCAGGATTGTTTCACTTGTTTCCATTGGAAGCGGCTGCTCTCAGGCAGTAGCAGTCTCGACGTGAACCTGTCCGAGACGCAGGAGGCAGGCAGCGTCCCTTGCGTTGTGCAGCAGCAAGAACACCGCCGTCGCTTTTGCAGTAGGCGATCCTGTTCTGCTGGGAATGAAATCTGGATTGTGGACCCATGGACATCCTTTATGTCAATTGGTGGATTTCCATGTTGGGTCAATACTAAAAGCCTCACAATGTGGGTATGGTATGGGTCAAAACTAAACCACCAGGAAACCGCAGGTTTTGGCCCATACATCCACTTAGGCTGTCATGTTGGGTACCTATTTCCCAACCACAGCCATTTGTGTGTAGCCACTTTGTGAGTTCCCAGGAAGACTTTGTGGCCTGTCATTTGTTTGGTTTTACGGGCAACCAAAAGGAAACCAAGCTGTTTCGAGGTCTCCTTAGTTTTGAGACAGACCCAAATCAGTTTGCCATGTTTCTTGCTGATGTTCCCAGGACACCGACTTGTTTGCATTTGATACCAAATCGCCAAGCACCAGCTGAGCCACAATCAAAACTTTGGTAGGTGAAGGTTGGTAAGGGGCAGTCCCAGCCAGAAATAGTTGGGCCACCTTTTAATTTCCTTTAATCAATTTGGGTCGACCATTTTAATACCGATCGGTTTTGATTGTGACTCAGCTGGATTTGGGCCCTTGGTTCTTGAGCCGGCAAGGCTGGCAAGGTGACGGCCTTGGACTTGGAGACGCTGCTAGAGGGGAAGGACCCACGGCTCAGCAAGCTGGTCGGGCCCACTTAGGGAGGAAAGGGAGAAGATCTGGGGGCAAAGGCCTTAGGGGGGAAAGGGGAGAAATGATCTCAACAGGGAAAGGGGTGGAACAGATCTTAGGGAGGAAAGGGAGAAGATCTGGGGGAAAAAAGGCCAACAGGGACAGGGGGGAAAGATCTAAGGAAGGAGAAGCTCTCAGGGGGGAAAGGCCTCAGCGGGAAAGGGTGGGAAGGATCTCAACAGGGAAAGGGGGAAACAATCTTAGGAAGGAAAGGGGGGGAAGATCTTAGGGAGGAAAGGGAGAAGATCTGGGAGAAAAGGACTTAGGGGGGAAAGCCCAACAGGGAAAGGGGGGAAAAGATCTCAGGAAGGAAAAGGGAGAAGCTCTCAGGGGGGGGAAAGGCCTTGGGAGGGAAAGGGGGGAAAGGATCTCAACAGGGAAAGGTTGGGAAAGATCTTAAGGAGGAAAGGGGGGTGAAGATCTTAGGGAGGAAAGGGAGACGATCTGGGAGAAAAGGACTTAGGGGGGAAAGCCTAACAGGGAAAGGGGGGAAAAGATCTTCGGAAGGAAAAGGGAGAAGCTCTCAGGGGGGGGAAAGGCCTTAGGGGGGAAGGGGGAAAGGGATCTCAGCAGGGAAAGGGGGGGGGAAAGATCTTAGGGAGGAAAGGGAGAAGATCTGGGGACAAAGGCCTTAGAGGGGAAAGGGGAGAAATGATCTCAACAGGGAAGGGGTGGAAAAGATCTTAGGGAGGAAAGGGAGAAGATCTGGAAAAAAAAGGCCAACAGGGAAAGGGGGGAAAGATCTAAGGAAGGAAAATGGAGAAGCTCTCAGGGGGGAAAGGCCTTAGGCGGGAAAGGGTGGGAAGGATCTCAACAGGGACAGGGGGGAAACAATCTTAGGAAGGAAAAGGGAAAAGATCTGGAAAGGCCTTAAAGGGAAGAAGGGAAAGGATCTCAACGGGGAAAGGAGGCAAAGGATCTTAAGGAGGAGTAGGGAGAAGATCTCAGCGGGGGGAAAGGCCTTAGGAAGGAAAGGAGGGAAAGGATCTCAACAGGGAAAGGGGGCAAAGGATCTTCGGGAGGAAAAGGGAGAAGATCTGAAAAGGCCTTAGGGGGAAAAGGGGGAAAGGAGCTCAACAGGGAAAGGTGGGAGAGGATCCTAGGGAGGAAAAGGGAGAAGATCTTGGGGGGAAAGGGGGAAAGGATCTCAACCAAGGGAAAAGATCTTGGGGAGGACAAGGGAGAAGATCTTGGGGGGGGGGGGGTGAAAAGTAATTCATTTGCAGGCTGAGGCAAAAGTTGAGTCTCCCTTTTTCTTTTGGAGGGGTGGCCCAATCGGTCAGTGACTGAAAACACGTTCACGGCTGCGTGAAGAAGCTGGGATTCTGGCCCACGTCAGAATCTTAATGCAAGTGGAGTAGCTGGCTGCCGGCCTTGCAAGAACTGGTTGGACTTGAACGGAAGGGCACAGTGAGACTGGGAGGATCTCACTGATGTGCTCTGCCAGGCCACAAGGTTCAAGGCTCATTCCAGCAATGTATCTGGGCGCTTCAGCAACCCTTACTCCTCACTTTCAGATACGAAAGGGGTCGCCTCTGCAGAGAATCCCAACTCGGATTCTAGCACATTGGATTGCCCACCTTTGAACAGTTGAGCGGCGGTTGTTTTAGCCGCAAGCTATTTTAGTGGGAGAGGGACATTATTATTGAACATGTGCGCCGCGCCACACGCGCGGACGCATGCGGAAGGCTCGCGGAAGGGATTTGTTCGCGGAAGGTTTGTGGAAGCTTTGTGGCTGATATACAACTAAATGTTTCAGTGCGTGCATGGAAAAGCTCGGAGAAACGATTCCAGTAGAAGAAAAGGTGTTGCTGCGTACAAGAAACGCAACGCTTACTCGAAGAGCAGATGCCAACAGCAAGCCAGGAAGGCCGAAACAGCCGGCGTATTTCGCGGAAGGTTTGCGGAATCTTCGCGGAAGCTCCGCGGAAGGGTGGCCCCGTGTTTGCAGGCAAGTGGCCACGTAGTATGGGTAGCCCAATGGAGCCCAAGCCTACACAAGCTGCGGCGGAACACTACCTCACTTAAAATGACTTTCCTTTCTGCGCCAATGCTCGCGGAAGCAAATCTTGTAAACAATGCCCCGCGGAAGGTTTGCGGAAGCAACAAAAACAATGAAATACATGTGCCGCGGAAGTTAGCGGAAGGGACCTCTTGGCCCGCGGCAAGGATGCGGAAGGGTCCGCGGAAGCTTGAAGAATGTCCAAGCAAGGGTGTAGGGAATAAAAAACAACGCTCACTTTGGATGGCTAGTCGGATTTGCAGCTCCAAATCGCGGAATCTGCAGGACGGAGAGGAGGTAGGCCCTGAGCAGCCAAAGAAGCTGAAGACGGGTAGGTGTCGGGGCCCCACAGCGCAGGGCTTTCCCGGCAAAAGACGGGCTTTTCCGAAGACCCACACGACCAAAGTCGAGTGTCTACTTCAGCTTCTTGTGGGGAACAAACGACTAGTCCCGTTGCCCCCTGGTTTCAACACACGCTCCAAGTGCTAGTCGTTCTTACTCAACTTGTAGAGTTGGGTGCCCGGTGGCAATCATTGTAGAATTTGTGGCCTGTCCGCAAGGAAATCATTCACCGAATCCTTGGGACGTGTGCGTTTTCTGCACGGTTTATGGTAGTTGCGGCTGATTGGTGGTGGTTCTAGGAGTTGCTTTTGAGCTGATGCCACTCTTGCTGCCGCCGGCAACGGCCGCGCTTGCTTCCAGCTCTTCCAGTCTTTTGCCGCTCTTGCCCCTCTATCGGTTTGCATACACATGGCCATGGTTCCAAACCGATGGGATCCCATTTTGGGGGTTTTCGGTGCACCATCCATTATAGTCTATAGTGGGCATTGAATCGGATGTTCACTGGGGGTACAGGGTTTTGACCCACGTCCACATGTGTGTGTGTGTATGATGCATTGTGTGCTGGCTGTGAAGCATGGGCCCGTGGGGCAAATACTCAAGGACCGGCTTCGACCCCCCGGTGTTGCCGGCAGAAGGGACAAGTCATGTTGACAGTTGACAAAAATCGCCGGTTGGACACGTGATCAAGTGCAATGCATCTTAGCCAAGGGAGGTGCGGGAGATGAGCAAAGCGGCGCATGTGCCTATTATATTATAGTGTTCTCCCTTGATCATTGTGTTGTTTGAACCGGTGTTGTTGCTAGCCTGGATTGTGACAAGCAGGAATGCCCCCCGCCACATGAAACAGACCTCCATGCAAGACGAGTTTGATGGGGCGCCCAATCGCAAGTCATGGCTCGTATCAGGAATTCAATTGGTTTGCCCAGTATGCAAGTCATGGCTTGTATCAGGTAACCCTTTGTTGTTTTGGATTGAACCTCCGGCTTTTGTAGAGAAATTTGAACCTGTGGGCTTTTGTAGAGGGCAAATAATTCACCACCAAGCTACCACTGCAACGCACCAATCGGGAAGCTGATCAGCCCGGCAGCTTGCGGAGGCACAGGCTTCGCCATGTCCGAAGCCGCAGGCGGGCCGGGGGTGGGAACTCGTTGAAGGCGCAGTGGCTTTGGAGCAGTTGCTGGGAATGATGTGGGCTGATCAATCTTCCGCCCAGTTTTGAGGGAGATATCATCTTTTTGGTGGTTCTCCCACCAATGGTCATCCCAAGAGTTTTCACCAAGGTAGCTCTTCGCCGTTGAGTGGGATCTGTTTGGTGATTCTCCAACCAATGGTCAAGTAAAGAACCTTTGATCAACCCCCATCTAGAGCAAGGCAGGATCTATCATGAGCTATCCTGTGGCAATGAGGTACATGCCATTGACGTCCAAAACATTGGGTCGTGTTTGAGAGGCCAAAAGGCATGTGTCTCATAGCCATGGTCGAAAGACCCCTTTAAGGGTCGGTTGGAATATCTTTACAGAAGGGGACGCCCTGGCCCCCCCCCCAAAGCAAAAAGAAACAAAAAGACAAGCCCATCATCTTCATCTGCTTGTTCAAGGCCTGGGGTGTGTGGTTGGGTTGCGGAGGCCAAAACCCAAAAAACAAAATCCCAAAAAACACAAAACAACGGAACACACAAAAAAACAAAAACAAAACAAGCCCATCATCTTCATCTGCTTGTTTGAGACCCGGGGTTGCTGTCTTCACCTGCTCGTTTGAGACCTGAGCCGCTTACCTGGGGTTGAATAGGACTTTCATTTTTACGTAGACTCATTCTTATTCAAATTCTATTTAAACAAATAATTTGTGATTGGGTTCATTTCTTATATATCAGTGATTGGATTCATTCTTTATCAAACTATGTTTAAACTCTAATTTAATTGTAAAGTTCTATTGGGAAATGATCTCCGTCTAGAGTCTAAATGTAAGATGCAATTCGCAGTAGGTTTTGATCAATTATTTCCTTTTTGAGCCTTAGTGAGTCCCAATTAAGTTATTTTCGAATTCAAACTGAATTCTAAAGAGCGGCTGTTGGTGGAGATGTGAATTGAGTACGCAAACCGCTACAAAACGCTGTGTTTTACGGTGTTTTTTGAGCATGGTACTGCTGGGGCTAGTAAGCAAACAAAGACGAATTCGGGACCTCTGAATTCTTTCATTATGACTTAAATAGCTTTACCAAATATCTGGCTGAAATCAAGCAGACGTTCATAAGGACGGACTCCAATCATAATCTATACTTGGACCTTCCGACATGTAAAATTAACGCGGTTTCCCAAAAGTCCAATAATTTTTGCCGGTTGCTTGAACAAATCGCTCTTTCGGAGAAACAGCGCTTGCCGTGAGTCCAGGCAAAAACAACCGTTTCGCCGGCAATTTACGCCGTTTTGACGGCAAATTACGCCGGTTTGCAATGTTAATTGATGCTAGAGTGTGCAAATACTGAAAACTGCCGGCAGGCGAAAACAATCGCCGTTGGGTCAAAAAAAAACATAGTTTTTGACAGCGTAGCAATCATTTTGCACATGTTGGAAGACCCAGGTATGCTAAAGTAGAACTTAAATATTGTTTATTATACTTTAACACAAATGCTACACGGGAACATGTATTCAACATTTCGGGACCGATAATTTATTTCCTAATGAAAGCTACTTAATATATGTATGAAGTTCTGCCTAATTCTTTCTCACATTAAATGGAATTTAATTAGGACATCATCCAACCTTGTTTTGTTAAATTTGAATTTAATTGATGATGATTCTATGTCAACATACATGCTATACAGGATTTTCTTTCCAATAGAATCGGCTTTGCAAATCAGTCGACATTCAATCAACGTGTATTCAACAATTTTGGGACCTCGAATATATTTCTTATGAATCCTACTTAGTGTATTGGCATCAAGTTCAACTTTAATCTTAATTATAACTAAGAAGAATTAGCTTCAGGAGCGAGTCCAATTAGAGGAAACAAACGCAGCCCCCAGAAATCTGAAAAATGGCGCCCCCAGGAATCTGAAAAACGCAGCCCCCAGAACGACCCGCCCTCTATCTTTAACAGGGGTTTCAGACAACCAAAGTAAAGGTTCCTCCTAGCCATCACCACGACCCACATGATGCACATGCACGTATGTCGCAGAAAAAGTGAGATGGGTGTGTCTTTTTTGCGGGGGGCCAAACAAAACCAACATATATGTGTTTCTTTTGGTTTCCCTTGAAACCCTGCCAAGAAGGGTGCCCCCAAAGAAGACAGACCCAGATATAAGCGCCATGTGTTGTTTTGCAAGGCGCGCGTGCGGTTGTGACGCAGACGGTGGATCTCCCCGGCATCCTTTACGGCGCCTCAGCGAAGTGGGCTGGATGGGAGAAGGGGCCGATTTTTTCTCTGGCGATGGATTCAACTTGCCGGTGCTCACTAGGGAATGACCCGTTTTTCCCAAGTGTCCAAGGCTAAACACTCAATACTGCACTACCAGGAATCCCTCGATATCCCTGTTTCGAGCCTGAATTTTCACTGAGTATTTTGCTTTCTGGTGCTTTGTAGGGAATGATCCAGTGTTTTGGGAATGAACCTGATTCCGTTACACAAAGCCATAGGGGATGGTTTGTTTTCGGGGGCATTCCATTTCTCATTCCCTGCTACCAGCAAGTCAGGCAGGAGGCACCGGTAGCCTCATCCCATGCCATGCCCAACCTCCTTGCTCAAGCGGCCGGTAATTGTCACCTTTGATAGTGAAAGGAACGGTTGCGTGGTGGTTGTTGTGCAATGTTCTTCATGCGCGTGCTCTACCGTTTTTCGTTGAATGGCGGCCATATTCTACGGTGCAGGCGTCTCTGATTTCGCGACAAGATGGAGACTTGATCCCTGGGTCGCCCAGCTCCTGCCATCGAGACAGACCCATATGCACAGCCGCAAGTAGGTACTCGCGACCTGGTCCTGTCTTTGGCGCCCATTTGGCTGTGGGTCAAAAATGGGTATTCGGGTATCCATTTTGGAACCCTTGTAAATGGAAAGGACTAAAACCTGCGGTCCATATCCTGGTTTAATTTTGACCCATACCCATTTTTCTCATATTTGGCTGTGGCTCAAAAAACCGGCACCAAAATGGGTTGCCCTGGTAAGTGAAGCATGGATCAAAACCTGCGGTTTGCCCTTCCTGTTTAATTTTGAGCAGCCATATTATAACCAGAATAAAGGGACACCAACATTTACAAAAGGCAATGTTCAGGTGTAGAATGCTTCCGGATCTGTGAAAATGTTGACCCATTTTTCTCATAGCGGTTCCCCTGAGTTCGGTGCACGCGTCCTTTGGGCAACCGGGGGCCGAGGCTTCGGGGACTTCGACTGCGCCCGGGGCCCGGGCAGTCGGACGAGGGAGCTCAGGTGGCAAAGACGACAGGGACCCGGGGGTTATGTTTTGTCATGTGTCTGGTTATAGTATGTTACATTTATACAGGGAGTTGTAATGTGCGTTATGAGTGTTAATATGTTTTCGTTACATGCAAGATATGGGGTTATTATATGGGTTATGAGTTTTAAAAAAGGGAACCACCTCAAAAGTGGTTGGTGGACATGAATCAATCCCAACGATTTTTGATGTCCACCAAAAGGTCCCCCATTAACTTTTGTAGTCATATGGGTTATGAAAGAAAACTAGGCAAGTAGGTATGTGTCAAAATGTGCGGACCCAACAAAATTGTGGTTGTTCCTTGGTTTCCCTGTTTGGAAGGTGAAGAAGCACACACACACATGTAAAACATGAAAGGAGCGAGATTCAATTCTGGGGCCACATGGTTGTGGAGCTGGGCGGTTTGCCATGCCGACCGCCATTCCGTTTCGAGATTTGTATATGCATTTCGCTCACTGGGGGCTGGCCTCGAGTACTTTCAGCGCCAAACCAGGCTCGAGCCGCTCCGGCAGTCTTCAGCGCTCGGTGTGTTTGAGTCCCGCTGTTCATCAATCATCCCCCCCCCCATTTGCAGACACCCCCCAAAAACGACAGCGGGACACCCCCCAATATCCCCAAACAGCGGGACTCAACCCCCTCCTCCCTTGGGGGGATCGCAAACAGACACCCCCCAAAATCCCAAAATCCGATCCAAGCCATTGAAGCCGCTAGGTCTTGAGGCTACAGCTGCCGAGCTTGGAGGTGTTGGTCTATGACTCTGACGGCAGGTGCGGTAGGGTCAAGTTGTCAAGGGTTGGGTGAAAGTCGATGGCAAGAAGTCTCCATGGTTTAGTCATCCCTTTTGCAACATTCGGGGTATTACGGTATTGGGCAATCTGGTTCTCAGTGGTGTACTGAGGCAGACAACCAATCCACCCTGCTGTACGCAAACTACATTCTCGTGCGGCTTTGTGTGGCGTGTCTATTGTGGAGGAATTCGGGGTACACAGAGGTACACAGAGGTACTCCGTGCCATGTGTGACCGAGGTGGGAGGACCATGCCTGTGTTCTACCATGACTGCACATTATTTCCCTTTCCCTAAAGGAACTTTATTTGGCGTTAGTCAACGTCATTTCACAAAACATTGCGCATGTGTTTTGTGTGCTCTTGGAGTACCACTTTATCCATTCAAGCTGAACCAACAGCCCCGAACCTTGCCAGGCGTCGTGATACATCATAGTGCTTGAGCAGGCCCTATTCAAGAATACATAAACCACATACACATACCTTATCATCCCCAGGGACAATTTCCCGAAGGCATATCTGGGGACGGATGCGTTTCTTGTGCTTTTTTGGGGGTTCTGCTCAGGAAAGCACCAGGAAACTGGGAGGTTAGCTGCAGGCTGTGCCCGGTGGGGCTGAACTCCGTTGGCCTGGGCGTGTGCGTCTTCAACCTCCACGACAGGCAGATCGCGCGGAGTGGGGGGTGCTGCGGTTGGATGTTTTGTTGGAAAGCTGCGGTTTCTGCAAGGAAGCCGGATCTCATGGCCCGGGAAAGCTGCGGGCGCCGAGTTTCACCAATCCCCCGAAATCACCGCTGCATCCTGTGCTTTTTCAGTCCCTCAGGCCCTCAGGCACAAGTTTGACCAATAGCATCCCAGTTTCCTCGCAGGCAGACGGAAGGCTTCGAGCAAGCCTCCTTGAGCGTCCAGGCACGGATTCGGCAGACGGATTCGACACGACTTGACCGCTTGCTTAGAGCCCCAACCTCCATGGGACCCTTTGGAGGACAGATTTGAGGGGAGAGTTCGGGGTGACGGAGACGTTGAGACGTTTGCCTTGTTGCAACAGGAAATGCGGTCGCATGCAATCCTTGGGGAAATCCTTTGAGGACATGCAAGCATTCAAACGGTTTCAGTGGCTCCATTAGTGTGAGACAATTAAATGTCGCATATTGTCGCAGTCGATTTGAAAGGCCGCTGGTTTGTTACTGGGGTGTGTTGCTGGCTGAACCCTTGACTTGTTGAGCTGCCACACTGCCAATCCCAGATTTCAAATCGCGTATGCTGCACATGCCTGAATCATGAACCGCATCGGCGGTCCTGGCCACTTTACATGCGGTTTCAGCGGATGGAGAAAAGGCCCGCCAAAAACCAAAGACGCAAACACCACCATCACAAAGATCCCCAACACAGCCCCCTCCACTTGATACATTTGCGGCCCGAGTGCCGCACGCCACGGGACAGTCGCCAGACGTTGGTGTGGGAGTTGCTGCTGGCCGGCCACACCTTGAGCTCTGCGCTTTCCTGGCTCCGAAGTCTGCCACTGCGGCCCATGTGTCGGGAAGCCCTGCGGGAGAAAATTCTCACGTGTCAAGATCTCCCGCTTGAACCAGGAGCTTGCGGTTTTGGGGTTTGGCTGGTGGCTTCGAACCCAAGCTTTCCCTTGCCCTTGAACCCTTCCTTCAAAGAAGTAAGGCTGAGATGTAGACAGACTTGGGCTGTTTTTCCCATGAGCAGTATTTTTTTGGTAGAATTGCCAAGTGGCAAGAAAAGCGCCGGCAGCAAGCTGCAACATGGTTTCATTGTGAGGTTGCAGCTGAAACATCATGATAGTTTCTGCAGCCTTGTGGTAGTCATACTATCTTCAGTCTGACCTTTAAGAAGCCGCTTGCTTGCTGTTGGAAAAGCAGCTGCTTTTATGGTAACTAGCAACACATCACTTGTTTGTCGGTGGGTCAAGATGGTTAGGGACCAAGCAAGTTCTAGTTGTTCGCAGTTGATCAGACGCCGCAGAAGGATGCCCGTGTTCCAGTTTTGTAGTATTGGTCGGATGCCTGTCTTCCCTAAAACCCTTTTAACCGCACTGCACCTCTTTCATTTGTCCAACACTTCCTCAGGGTTGCAAAAAAGCCAAGGAACATGAGACCTTAGGTGCTCAAAGCATGCTGATAGGATTCCAGGTTGCTGTCCGCTAGGCTTGCTTTATACCAGACAGAGTCGATCTGTCGTGCCGAGCATTTGAGGGTGAGGAAATTCCCTGACGAGATGTGCTTATGTGTTGTTGCTTCTTAAGAACATAATATGTTTATGATTTATGACCGCTCTAAGGCGGCAGTGCCTTACTGCTGGCTGATGAGACTGGGGTGGTCAACGTGGAGTTGAGTCCAGGCGGATCCAAAGACCGGCATGTTGGTTTTGTGTTCTTTTTCGGAGACCCAACAATCGGCAACTTTTGGCTTTTGGACATGAGTTGGGCAGGGACAGGATCACTTGGCATGTCAGTGTTGGCCAACAATCGTGCAAAACTGGGAGGATGATGTCAGGCCATTGCCTGGATGAAGCAGTGAAGGACAAGTATCAAATATTTTGACCTTGTTTGACATTCTAAGACAGGGACCGCGGACATGTCCAGAGAGGGCCTGAGCACGAATAGTCATGGACTGCACTCGACTTCGCATCGAGAATCCCCAGGCGGGCTGGTGATTGGAGAAGTGCAGCGTGCAGCAGTGGCTGGGAGCTAAGCTTCTCCAAACCAATTGCGCGTGCCTGAGCCAAAGTCAAAGGAGTCGAAGAGCAAGAAATGCTTTGCGCAATACGTTCATCCCACTTGCTTTGAGGCCCTTAAAGCATCTTAGCACCAAGGATAGGCCAAACAGGAGATGCACCGTCTTGCCATTTGATGAATTGGATTCTGGGCAAAAGGTTGCAGCTCAGCCTTGCGGACTCACCCCCTGAGGTCTCAAGAGCCAATCATCCAATGCTGGAGGAGCCTCTCGGAAGAAATCAGGGCACAGGGCCGACAGATGGCCTTCTGGTTCAACCCAAAGCTGTTGTTCCTCCTTAAATTTAGGTCCTCCGGGATTGTTTTTGAAGCACAACGGGTCAGGTGGCTGTCAGGTGCCGAAGCAGCATGCAGCGCTGTTTTGTTCAAGCGCAGCTTTGGGATTTTCGGTTGCCGTTGAAGCGCTCGCAATGGCGTGGTATCCGAATTTGGAAGATCCCAACTTGCACTGGATCTCTCCGGTCCTCACCATCGTGATGGCCCTGATCTTGTTCTTTTGGGGCAAGAAGGCGAGAGTGACGTGTTTGCTGTCAGGGTCTTCAACCTTTTAATAAGCTTTACCCCACCTCAATTAGATTTCAGAATAGACACGTTTTGTTTTTCAATGGCAGTTGCGAGTCTTCAGCCGGTGCTGCTAAAGAGAAGACCGTACTCAAGAATGCGACAATGACATCATTGCCATACGAGTAAGCGCAAGTATTTGCTCAGCAAAAGCAACTGCTTTCTACCCTATGATTTTCACGCTCCGCGTACCGGCCTCGCATGCCAGCGAAAGTCCTTTAGGAAAAACCGAGCCGTGCGCGATGGATGGTAGATGGATGGATGGCTGGATGGATGGATGGATGGTGGGTGGATGGGCGGACGGATGGATGGCTTGATGGCTGGATGGACGGATGGTGGATGCTGGTCCAAAGACTGACCTGGGACTGGTCCTGGGACCGGTCCTGGAAGTTAACTTTTTGTGCGTACGAGAGGATTCCAATCGCTTCATTCCAGTTGCATCCCACGCCGGTCAGGCTCGGCGGATTCGGTTGTTTACCGCCTTAGTGATGGCTCTGTCAGACGCAAGACAGCTGTAATGGGCGGAAAGCTCCGGCAGCGCGCTTGTCAGGGAGTATGCTTGCCAAAACAGTTGGCGAACTTTAAGCTTTGTGCTGGTTGGTGTCTTCATCATTTTCTCAAGGCCCAAATAGTTTGACCTACCTTAGCAAGTTGGCATAATTGTAAACGCTTCGCGTTGCCCGCCTCGGCCCAGCCTAGTTTGAGGGAAGGGTCAGGAACACCGAAATCCAGTGTTGGGAAGGTCCGAATCCTACTGAAAGCTTGTGACCGCACCAGTTCCCCGTGCTAGTTCGATGTTCGGAAGCCGTCCTGCTCGGAAGGTTTGAAATCCAAAACCAAGACTATCTCAGCTGCTCAGTGCCCTTGGAAAAAAAGGACCTCTTTCTGGGGATGAGCATTTTTAGTGGGGCTTGGCCTCCATAAAAAGGGGAACAATACTTGGTGTCACTGAACAACCAAGACCAACTTTGGGTGTTTGGGCACCTCCATTTCACGTGGCTGGCGGCTTGCCATGACATACATTTCTTGCTCGGTTGCTCAGCCCAAGACAGGTACATGGTCGGAATACAAACCTCCATTTGCTTAAGTACCCCGGAAAAATATCCCCAATAGACACGCCAGCAGGCGGGCTGAGGGACTGGGCCTGAGGCTAGTCTCAGGGCTGGCATACCTTGAGACGCCGAAGGGGCTGGGCTGAGCCTGCTGGTGGGGGGCCGGCCTAGTGGCTGGCATGCCCTCTCAGATGCGCCGGGGCCTCGGCTGGGCAGGCTGGGCTGAGGTGGGTTGCTGGTTGGGCTGGGCCTGAAGCTAGTCTCAGCCACGAGGCTGCGAAGCCATGGGGTGGGTTGCTGGCAGCCGGACTATGCTGCTGGAACTTGGGCTGGGCGGGTTGCTGGATGGGCAAGGCCTGTTTCACACACACTTGGGCCTGAGGCTGGGTGGCGAGTTGCTGGCTGGGCTGGGCCTGAGGCCAGTCGCAGACACGTAAGACACGCCAGCAGGCGGGCTGAGGGACTGGGCCTGCTTTAAAACAACTCTCAGACTGCGCCGAAGGGGCGGGGCTGCTGGATGACTTGGGCCAGACGAAGGCCTGGCCAGCCTGGGCTGAGCTGCTTGGGCAGCCGGACTGAGGGGCTGGGGCACGTCAGAGTTGGCCTGAGGCCTGACCTTGGCACGCTGGGCTGAGCCTGCTGGTGGGCTGGGAGCTGGGCGTCTCGAGACCAGTGTCAGACTGCGCCAAAGGGGCTGGGCCTGCTGGATGACTTTGGGGCAGACGCGAGCAGGAGGTCGGCTTGGGCTGAGCTGCTTGGCCGGACTGAGGGGCTGGGGCACGTCAGACAGGCTTAGTAGCTGGCGTAGCTTGAGACCAGTCTCAGACACGTAACTGGTCGTTGGCCTGAGGCCAGTCTGTGGGCCGGGCTGAGCCTGGCCAGCAGGCGGGTTGCTGGTTGGGTCTAGTCTCAGACACGTCAGACAGGCCTGGCCAGCAGGAGACAAAAAAGCATTTTTCGCAATTCTCAGTGGACGCCGACGAACCCCGAAAATTTCAAGGCCCGCCGGACAGGATTTTGAGCCAGCCGACATGGGTGGGGGGGGGTTGGGGGGGGGCGGTCGGGCAAAATGGAGAAGAGATCTGAGCGCCCTTGGCCCCTTTGGGGCCGAGGCGAATTGTAGCAAACAGCGATGCAGTTTTGCGGTGTTTATCCGAGTGCAGCGTACTGTATTGCCTGATCGCTCTCACTGCCAGCTGCATCACTTCATATGCCTGCTAGATAGAGTCTTATTAATTAGACGGGCTGTATGGAATGTCAAACCTTAGGCCCCTTTCGACCCCATCCAGCCGAGCTTTTTCAACCAGCGGGCCAGAACAGACAAGCAGCCCACAAAAGCCGACCAGAGGTCACCACCCGCATCAGCTTCGATATCTTGGAGCACTGCGACCCGGAAGGCCTCAAGGATTCCTCTAAGAACACCTGGACGAACATCGCGGTGACCTCGGCGTTGATTCTCACCATGGTGATGGCCATGTTGCAGGCACCGTGATATTGAAGCCTGTGGCTTCTCATTCGGGATTGGCCCAAAATAGGGTGCCCCTCCATGACTCCATGAGTGAAAAAACTGGGTGGTCGAAAGAATGACCAAATTTTGTTTCCCGTGGGACCAACGCTCTACTTTGCCAACAAACACCTGCTTCCATGAACGTGCGTGCAACCATTGTAACCTCACACATGGGATTTGTTCGGTTGTCAGAACTAGTCTTTTTTTTGCGCCAGCTTCCGCGATTGTTCGATGTCATGAAGAGTGCCCAAAAGAGGGTCACCATCTTCAAGGAGTCAAGTTGTTTTTGGATCGCATTTGAGGGAATTGGGGTTCGTTGTGTTTTGTTGCTCTATCTTTTGTCGTAGCCAACCGTGTTCTTCACACATTTGTCACAACATCAAAGTCTTTTCAGAGCCCCTGGAACATGGGTGACGTCCGGACAGAACTATGGACGAACTGGATTCCGGCTCAGCTTCTGAAAGCTGAAGGGATCCGTGTTGCAGGCGTTTCGACGGGTTTCACGCTGGAGGAATCCGGGGAAGGGAAGACAATAGACACGGGAAACTTGGAAGGAGAAAGGCGGAAGGATCAGGATTCGGCATCCGCAACCCTCTCAAAGTCGGAGCATTCATGAAGGGTTTGTAGTAGGTGCCTGGCCGCCAAATGACAACTGGTAATTGTTCCCATGTAGTGGGAACTATCATGTTTTTAGTGATTTTCCAACCAATGGTCATCCCATGTAAAGGACCTTTTGATCCACTCCCACATGTTCACCCCCACCGCTGAGACACTCTTCCTTTTTGTTTCCCATTCTGCTCAATGCTTCCCTCCTGGTAGGTGGATGCCATTGCACCCATTTCATTCACGTTGGAGCCCTATGAGCTGATACACTTGCAGCACGCGTACGTGTCTTTGTGCTTGGCCTCGCTCTGCTTCAACCTGATTTGCATTACGGTGTGCGTGCTGAACCTCAGCTATGTGGATCCCTTGACGCTTTGCCAGACTTCGATCACCGCCTTTTTTCTGTTTTGCCCGGGGCTTCGGTTTAGTTGTCATGAGCTTCTTCCACTGAGCTTCAGAGCTTCCGAGCTTCAGAGCTTCAGACGGACAGGACGACCACAGATGCCATCAAGTTCTTCCTGGCCAACGCAGACACCATTGGCGACCCGGCGATTTTGATGGCCGAGAGCTTCACTTTCTTCGTGGCCGCTGTGGTTGTGTGGACGCTGGGCAAATTTGGTAACATCCAGACGGGCTAGTGGTTTCAAAGGCTACCGTTCTCCAAAAGATGGTTGTTTGAATAACAGGTGTCTACACGTGCACGGGATCCCAAGGACGCTGGGCTGCTACGGCCTGACGCTGGGCCTGCTGTGCCTCATCGTGTTCATCATCATTACGCTCTCAGTGGCAAATGTCTGGAAGAATCGCTCCAAGTTTGCACCCAAGGAGCTGGGAAACAAATATTGTAAATTAAGAAACAAACAAAGCAAACAATTTGCCAGGGGAAGTTGGAACAAACAGAACGCCGCTTGAGGGATGCCCGCAACGGGGTTGGGACACCTGACCCCATCCGTCCACGGCCAGACGCTGTCAGGAGGACATGACCTGGACGCAGGACCCCTCACTTTGGCGGCGGGAGTTGACCACGGGGGGCGTCATGGCCAACCGCGGCAATCCCAAGGTGGCCGCACTCATGGCTCGCTTCGGCAAGGCGAGCGTTTTTTTTCGATGAACTCCGGATCCGGAGAAAGTTCCGCGTAGTTGGCCATTTCAATTGCCCCTCTTCTAAATTGTGTGGCTTTGGATTGGCCGATGTTTTGTTAGGGCCCGGCAAGGTGGTGATGGATGCCCAGGAGGCCGAAAAGAAGAAGAGCCAGGCCAAGGATGGCCAGGTGAGCGCGAACGACTTGAGCGAGTCGCGCCTTTGAGAACGCGAGTGATTCGCGTTGCGAAGGTGCGGGCAGATGGATTGCGGTACATCAAGCAGATGTGGCCATGAATCTAAATAAGGAACCGTCTGAAAAGTGGTTGGTGGACATGAATCAGCACCTAAATGATGTCCACCAGAGGGTCCCTAATTGAAATCCATGGCCATGTCTTGATGTTGACGATGCTGAATGAACTACTTGGTCGGATTGCTGGAGTCCTTGCACGGACGAAGTGAGAGTTGCTCCGGTTGGGGATAGCTCGCTGCTTTCAATGGCACAGTGCATTAGGTTAAATATATATCTGATGCACTCTTTGCACCTTTTTGCACAGTGGACCAAACTGTCCCTTTGTGCCGAAAGACTTGCCAGTTCGCTGTTTGTCGGAGCCGGGGTTTCCCGGGCTGCCGCTCTGCCGACTGTTTGCTTTGGAAGATTGGAGAAGATGTCCGCTGGCAAAGCAAAGTGTGGCTTTCATTTTCACATGCCAATAGGTGTGGCTCAAAAAAGTAAAGAGCTGGGGCAAACCGCAGGTTTTAGTCTTTGGTTCCATTTACCAAGGGGCCATTTTGGGGATTCCAGTTTTGAGCCACTGGCCCAACATGGGACCACCGGCAGGCTGAGTGGCTCTGGGTGCACCTCTGAGAAGAAAATTTGGCCTTGCTTTCGGATTCCATTGGCGCGTTTGCTTGTCTTGAAACGACCGACTGACGAGCCACTGTCATGATTGGAAAGGGGTACTTCGGCCAATCCAAACGTGGAGTTCAAAGAATGTTTGTCACACGTATTTCTTGTTGGGCCGTCTTTAACCTTGGAATCGGGCGTGACCGAAACAATCGCAGACTTGCGTCCCAGCGGCCAACAGTCGCGCGGCCATCTAATCATTGGTGATGCTAGCAGTGAGATAGGGCACTGCTTGGCTTTATACAAAGTATGTGTCTAGACATAACCCAGACAAGCTCATGAGCAACAATGAGGTATTCGACGGCTTGTTTGATGCACTCTTGGTGGTGTGGTGCAAACAAATGAGATCAGCAGGAAAACCAAGCACTATTCCGGACAATTTGGGCGTAAGCTCCAGAACAAAGTCTGCGAAGTGAGTCACGAGACCTGCCCAAAGCAAACGGGCGCGGATGCGAGGGTGGGTGTCGAGAATCATCGACCCACACGTTGTCCTTTGGTTCAAGTGATCGCAACCCTTCAATAAAACCCGCCGAACGAAAACCGGCCCCCCTTTGCTTGTTGGTGCTGAGCAGGGAATCAGAATTGGAATGACCCCAAGAGAAACCATGTTTCAAGTTCCTTTATTCGGGAGTCCCAAAACAGTTGATTCAACCACATTCCGTAACGATTTCGCACCAGCAAGTTTGGGTCCTGGGGATGGAAATCAAAACATGAGCCACAATAAAACCGATTCGGGTAGATGGGTGAGTAAGGGACTATCCCAACCAGCAATCGGTGCCTTCGCCGCCGTTTCAATTCTTTACTGTACATGGTTCTGGGTAGATCAGTTTAGTACCAGGTTCTTGGCTTGAAACCAGC